TAACACGGCTCCTCATAGCAACTTTCCTGCAGCGACGGTGAAAATGCAACAAAAACTACCATAGCTGTCTCTAATGTGCAGTAAACAAGCGGTGTTTTGCAACATGTGAAAGGTTTCCACCTGTTACGATCCTTCTAACCAAGTGATTCCTAATGGCCTCTCTTGTAAAAAGTTGTCGAGTGGAGGTATAATTATTCTATAGCATTAAACTCACATTTTCTAAAACTGGGATTAAACAAAAACAAAGTTCGTAGAGGGAACGTTTAAGATAAAGTGAGCGGCAAGAAGTGAATGGTGAGGTTGTCGCTGGTGTTCCTTGGGGCGTCTTGAGGTAGTGCTGATGGGGAACTTTCCCCCTAGCCCCAGGCCTGGAGATGATGGGGGTCGATCTTCGCCAGCCTCTGCTCTGTCGTCTCAAGGCGTGTCGTCTATACTGTCGTCTCTTTAACCATCAAGGTGGTTCTGGAAGATGCGAGCAAGCAATTCCTTGTCGTGTTGACTGTATCTACTGACTGGCAAATATCTGGTTACCCACTTCAGTCATCCTCGTCTACTGTTACAAAAATTGACGACTGTCTCAGCACTCCATCCTATTCCTGCCTCCGTCAACCCGCGTCAGTCCTCTTGCCGAGAGCTTACTTAAATCCTAAACTCTTTAAGGCGTTGACGTATAAGTGAACGGGAGGAACAACGCAGACTGCGACACTATTGACTCTGCTTGTCGATAGGGTAGCCAGATGGCGCAGTGATTTACTGCTTATAGACTCTTGATAAATATATCTTGTCCCTTGGAGCATGTCAGCAGGATCGAACTGGCGTCTTGGATCAGCCAACAAGGGCGCTGTCGTCATCCAAAGATCTTCTCATACATACTGTATATCACATTATTGTGGTCTCATTGTGTATGGTCTCTGGCTCGCGCTTCAAAACACTACTGGGGGCTATTCTTATGTTCGCAGATCCTTCTCCGTACTCACATTCCTAATGGGCGCTCTCTCTGGGGGGAAGACGCCGCCTCCTCCTCCTATAGCCATTGTTCGAGGCCAGCAGGGATGCTGCAGATGCTCTCACGAGTCATCTAAACTCAGGGTTGTCAAGCGTGGCTGTCACTCACGGTGCCTCGGTCTCACCCGCTGTTGCTATAAGACGCCACCGTCACCATGGAAAGTCGTAAACACAGAGAAAGTGAAAGCCTGTGATCTGTAGCGTGACGAAGAAGTGTCTTGGCGCGGTAGTTATCTCGCTTCGGGGGATCTTGTCGTGTTTGTTGACACGCTTCACGTGCTCACGTGCTTCACGTGCTTCACGTGCTTCACGTCACTCACATCCACGATGACGCATGCTTCTTGCAAATTCAATCATCTAATTTGCAAAGATTTACTATCAAAAGTCCAGTGAGCGTCCTCTTGAAAATAAGAGTGAAGAGGACGGACGAGAAGCGGTGTTCTTAACGTGGTATGGCCGTTGGCGAGTGAAGAGTTGTTGTTGTTGTTGTTATAGATTCAGCTACTGGGAACAAAAAGTTTCAGGTAGCACGGGCTATGGTGAGCCCGTAGTAGACTTACCTGGCACACGAGCGGGGCTGGAACTGGAATAAAGAGTTGTTGTTGTTTTAGATTTAGCTACTCAGAACGAAGTGTCCATGTAGCACGGGCTATGGTGAGCCCGTAAGAGTGAAGAGATAGTGTAGCTACCTTATAGCGCTGCCAGGGTGAGGTGTAGCTGTATAGACCTCTCTCTTGGAACGGTTAGAAACTTCTTGAAGTTCAAGTTCTATGTTACATTTACTCTTGGAGCGGTTGATGGAGGCGGCTTCCGGGACTTCCTCATACAGTTCATCAACCAGCAGCTTAGGGAGAGGAGGCGGTGGAGTTTAGGTTTAAGCAACGTGGCGAGTGAGTGAAGGAAGGTGGATACTACTGTAATTCAGTGTGTGTACTCACCTAGTTGTGCTTGCGGGGGTTGAGCTCTGGCTCTTTGGTCCCGCCTCTCAACTGTCAATCAACTGGTGTACAGATTCCTGAGACTACTGGGCTCTATCATATCTACATTTGAAACTGTGTATGGAGTCAGCCTCCACCACATCACTTCCTAGTGCATTCCACCTGTTAACTACTGACACCGAAGCACTGTGCGCACGCGCGTGTGTGTGTGTGTGTGTGTGTGTGTGTGTGTGTGTGTGTGTGTGTGTGTGTGTGTGTGTGTGTGTGTGTGTGTGTGTCTGCTTGTCTGTCTAATCTGTCTGTCTGCCGCGTGAAGAGCTGCCGTACACAGTCATTAGTCTATTGCATCAACAGGTGGCGTTACTTTCTCTTGCGTAACACGGAAACACCAAAAGTAACGGGGAGCCCGGACCACTGAGAACGCCTCGACGGACCACTGAGAACGCCTCGACGGACCACTGAGAACGCCTCGACGGACCACTGAGAACGCCTCGACGGACCACTGAGAACCCCTCGACGGACCACTGAGAACGCCTCGACGGACCACTGAGAACGCCTCGACGGACCACTGAGAACGCCTCGACGGACCACTGAGAACGCATCGACGGACCACTGAGAACCCCTCGACGGACCACTGAGAACGCCTCGACGGACCACTGAGAACGCCTCGACGGACCACTGAGAACGCCTCGACGGACCACTGAGAACGCCTCGACGGACCACTGAGAACGCCTCGACGGACCACTGAGAACCCCTCGACGGACCACTGAGAACGCCTCGACGGACCACTGAGAACGCCTCGACGGACCACTGAGAACGCCTCGACGGACCACTGAGAACGCCTCGACGGACCACTGAGAACGCCTCGACGGACCACTGAGAACCCCTCGACGGACCACTGAGAACCCCTCGACGGACCACTGAGAACCCCTCGACGGACCACTGAGAACCCCTCGACGGACCACTGAGAACCCCTCGACGGACCACTGAGAACCCCTCGACGGACCACTGAGAACCCCTCGACGGACCACTGAGAACCCCTCGACGGACCACTGAGAACCCCTCGACGGACCACTGAGAACGAACGCCTCGATGGACCACTTGTCCACATAGACAGTCTCGTTCACAGGGCTTCTCTCACCATCTCCCACACCGACGTTCACGTGAGGAGCAGGGAGTGTTCGTGGACCATCAAGTGACCTGTATACATGTATACACAGCGTCGAGGGAGCAGAATATACGAGCTAGGCACCAATACCAAAGTCATTAGATCACCACCTGTATGCCGGGAGCTGTAATTGGCTCGTTATCCAATTACTGCCAATTAATTGGCTCGTTATCTCGGCTCGGCTAAGTAACTGAGGCCTATAGGCTCCATGTGTTCCAGGATGCAAGCCACAATAGTTGCCTAACTCGCCAGAGCCTATTTACTGCTAGGTAGCGACCAGAGGAACCAGTCAAGGTAGCAAGGTATCAAGGTGTTACGAAATGTGCCGAAACGTCTCTGTCCTGCCGCGGGAATCGAACCCGGGACCTTTTGATTGTAAACAAGTGTCGCTTCATCACACACGTCGTCAAAACCTATTGTCGCAACCTGTTCTCTCAATATACCCAAATGCTCTTCGCTGTCAATCCAAACGTTAAAATTGTAGTGGTTTATAGAAATGAATAGCATCGTAAAATTGACGAAATATGATGACTAATGAGATTCTTCCTCTATAGATTAGGTGCACACTTAAATTACTAACAAATACACTAATAAACAATCTCTAGACACGGAAAATATCTTACTTTTTTAACTTTTTAGATATACTTTTATTCTTACTTTTTTCCTGTCTTGGATATATTCAGTTCATTACGTCAATTAAATACAAAACAAGCCTGGCCGCTGGGGCACTGACGAACCCGTGGAACCATCCCCAGGTACATTCCAGGTAAACTCCAGATATACAATATTGCATTGGAAAGCACAATTCTTAAACTAGAGAGAGAGAGAGAGAGGAGGGTTGGGGGGGGGGGGGGGGGGGGGTCATAGCAATTTCTTTGTTCTACCAAGAACTGCTCACACAACGTCAGTCATAAAGTGAGGGGAAACACCGAGTGTGTTGTGTCGACCTTGTTGCCTCGGGAGAGTGGGCAGCCCTTAGTGCTTTCCCTGCCACAGGCCGACCACAAGTCCTCCTGCCTCTCACTCCTCACTCTTGCCTCTTACTCCTTACTGCTGCCTCTCACTCCTCATTGCTGCTTCTCACTCCTCCCTCCTGCCTCTTACTCCTTACTGCTGCCTCTCACTCCTCACTCCTGCCTCTCACTCCTCACTGCTGCCTCTCACTCCTCACTCCTGTCTCACTCGCTATGTAACCCCCTACAACTTTTATAGCGTCTATTGCATATATAAATAAAATTTATTCTAAAACAATTTATAGTGTCTTGCATATGTAAAATACTTTTATTATCGGTGTATATACATGAGAGTGTATACTAGTCCAGGATTATGGCCAGGGCTAAAGTATACTTGCTGGTTGGTCAGTAAACAATTGTGGTGGTCTTAATAACCCTCCAGATGTTCATAGGCCTTAATTAAGCCCAAAGCAAACAAGTTCGTCCCCCAAAGTACACAGGGGGGGGGGGGAGGGAGGGGATGTACACCAGTTTTTGGTGTGTATATACACAGAGTTTACTTTAGTTTTGGATAATGTCCAGATTTCACATTGTCAATTTTCTTTGTTATCACGTTTTCTATTCTTCATTATTTTCTCAGTGCTCTAGAATGCCGAGGTCCAGTTCCCAGAGCCTTTCAGGAACTATAACATGGTGGCGTGTCTCCAAGCGGCTTAGTTATGTGCTCTCGCAATCATGTAATAGCCTAGTTTGGATGAAATGACGAGCTGTTGGTGTTTGTTATCCTTCGCAATGAGTACCTCTGGCATCAAATTTGGGGGCTTTGATTTGTGCCCTTGGACGGTCTTCTCACACCAGTTCAATTCCTCATAACATTGCATTTTCTGGGTTAAATTCCAGTAACCACTTGCTTAAATATTTATCTTCTCTTTCCAGATCAGCCGGAGAAACGCATGTAAGTAGCAACCAAGACAAAGTAAGAAACCGACGGTAAGTATCAATCAGCCTGAAAAAAACACTAATCGATAAGTAAGTAACAATCAACCCATGAACATTAATCAACCAACGTAAGCTTTATATGACATTAATTAAGCAGTAATCAAAGGCAAACTGCAACGGGCACAAAATGAGAACCATTCATCAACAGCAAAAGACAGTAAACAACCCCAGCTAGTAACAATCATAATAATCTACTTCAAGTAATATTTTACTCAAAGTAACAATTAACACCAGATAGTTGACACTGGGGTTACAACTTCTTAATTAAACTTAATTAAAATACTAGTGGCAACATTGCACTCCAAAATACTAGTGGCAACACTGCACTCCAAAATAAGCAGTTATTAGTCCTAATTTCGGCAAACTAATGCAAGTGGCAAGAATATATACACACCGAGGTATACCCAGCATCTCGGTGTATATATACACTAAGAGTTTACTTTAGTGATGACTCTGTTCGGGAATAAAGTAATCTTACAGGTTGGTCAGCTGTAGTGGTGGCCTTAATAACCCTCCAAAAGTTGATAGGCCTTAAGCCCAACACCGAACGATGTGTTAACCTCTAAATAATATACTGTATAAGCAATTATTAGGGCTGTGGCCCATTACCCTAATAAAAAATGAACCAGAAGTAATTAAGAGCTCCAATATAATCGTGCTAAATATGCCTCTGGTTGTAATCTACCCTAAGAACAGTACTCTATAAGTAATCACCAGCTCTAAATAGGTCTTAACAACCCTCAATAAGTAGAGTGAACGCGCGGAGAAGTCATGTGTAGCGCTTCCTGACATCTCGGGACCCTGAGGGTCAAAGGGTGACTTCCTCTGTTAACGACGCCATAAACATTCTGTTGTTTGCGACGCCAACATTTAAGATAGAGAAGACGTGGGTGTTCTGTATGTTTCTTTCCCTTTCAGCATACAAATAAAGCCTACAGATGAAATCAATAAATGATCGGTACTACTAAAAATGTCGCTAAACATGCTATATTATTACTATCACTGTTCGGGTGGTTCTTAAAATGTGACAACAAGCATAGCATTAGGCTATTATTTAAAGTGCATCCTAATGGGCGCAAATTCCAAGGTCACTTGGGTATTATGCCCACTGGGATTACACTACCAGTAATAAGATAAACATCTTACTTCCTCCACGGAGTTTTAAACAAATAATTCTAACTTTGCTTAATAAACTATAATTTTCATCCCATTCAAAATGTAAAAATTTAATTTTGGGATTAAATGTGATAAGATTATCAAGAATGTCACTGACATTGATGTAAGTCTTTGCTCCGCAATGATATATAAGCCTAGACGGACCTCGTTTAAAGAACAACAATATAATGACAACAGCAACAACAATAATAATGCACAAAATTCATTACACAATAAATATAAATAATTTATAATTGTTACTCAAGTAAATATATAACAATAAAACGTTGTCGGCGGTCAAGAGTCCCAGCGGGCAAAACATGCTCAAATAACGTGAAAAATCGACATTTACTCCATATTACATCAACGTTGTTTTCCCAGATTTTTCCCCTGGGCAAACGACGTTGATGTAACAACGAATTAGCGTTAATACTGTTGATCCTACGTTGAGTAAACGTTACTCAGACATAGTTTACCCGCTTGGTTATATAGCTTGGCTAGCTGGGAATTAGAAGACAAAGGGAAATAAATCGAGATTACTGCTTCGAAGACTTTGATCACCGTCCTTGATAAGCGCCCTTTCCGTGACCTTTCCTGGCGTTTATTTTCGAGCTTCTTGCTAAGAGACCTCACAAATTTGACAGTTGACATGTTCGAAAGTTACAGTCCAAAAAATATTGATTGATAATTAACGTTGTAGAGCGTATGAAACAGGCTACCACTGATGAGGCTACGCACTAGGCTTATGGGAGACTACACGAAAAAAGTAAAATCGGACTCAAAAAAATACGCTTCTGTGAACGTTTACGTTCGTTAAATTATTATTTACATCAACAGGGAAGTCTAATAGCAACCTCACATCATTAATTTGGGCATTTAGTTATAAACTGGTATGTTTGATACTACAGTACTTGATTGAACAAAATCGCTCAAATTGGAAACATCTCCGATATAAATTGCACGCGAAGAAAACCCGAAATCAAATACTGTACTGTATTTTATCCCCCCCCCATCCTCTTTCCCCAGTATGTTGTTGCTGATAATCTCACGTATCTGATCTTGCTTCAGGGAAATTATGACATCGGCGGCAGGGCGGGAGGCGCCCCAGGAGACCTTCAGCGGCGGGTTCTCCAAGGACTTCGCTCACAACCTTCCCACTCAGGAGTTCATGGGAGACTTCGCAAGTATGAATTCTCAGCAGTTAGGGCTCGAAGTGGATGCTTCAGTTCGAGCCCGTCTGTTTTGGTTACGCAGTTTGTGAACAGTAACTTTCTAATATGAGCTTAGATTGTTTAAACTTATAATTTACAATAGTCATTTATGCTATAAGTACAGTGAAATTTGACTGGAATGCAGAATAATACTTTTAAGCACATTTCCTGGTGTTTATTGTATATTAATAAGGAGTTAATAATTAGTCCTATCTACTGTCAGGATCGTTAAGGACACAGTTTATCTTATAACAATCATGGATAGCATTATCCCTAATAGAATTAAAGATTAAACTCAAGGAATATACATTTAGAGATACAATTCTCAGTGATTATATTCTACCCTTGAACTGATAGGATCATCCAAGTCCCGATTCCCAGCAAGGTGCTCTCAAAGCTGATCAAACTGCGTTAATGTCAGGTGGGAACAACGCTGAGATTAAAAGTTACTTAAGCATGGTTTAAATCATGCTCGAGTCACTCCTACGTTTATTCAAAGTAGGAGTGACTAATCAACGTTGATTCATTGTTTCATCAATAACGTTTTCCCATATTTGCCCGGGGTAGGGGTTAGAGGAGGGGGGGGGGGGGGCGGGTGTGGTCAGAAAACACTAAGTCATTCACTGATAACCTTGATATCTTGCGGCCACGTTCAGAATTTTATGTCTGATAACCCCATCCGATGGTCAGATTGTTCTCTAATCTATTGTTCTTGTGTTTTTACTTCACTTTTAAAATGATTGAATAATAGTACAACAAAATATAACTGAATTTATATGTTTTGTTATAAATTCTGAAGAAAACAAAATATAATGAAATTCATATTTATAAATTCTGAAGAAAATTAATAAAAATAAAATTAAAATAAAATTCTTATTTTTTCCAATTGATATTTTCAAATAGCATAGGAATATAAATTAAAATTTTCCCTATGCTAGCTAAAACCATTTGGTGGTTAGATCGTTAGTTTTTAATGTTAGTGAAACAAAAGTAACAGAATGGTTGACAGGGAGTCCACAATGTTCTATTCGAGAGGAGAGAAGAGGGGAGGGGGGAGGGAATGGGGATTCGGGAGTGGGAGGAGGATTCAGAGGGGGAAGAGGATTTATGAGTGCGAGAGAAAAAGTTGGGGAGTGGACATTAGGAGAAGGGGAAGGTGTAGGGAAAAGAATAGAGGGAGATGGAAAGGTCAATAAATAATGATAGAGATAAAATCCAGGAATACTGAGGCTTACAACGCCTAGTGGTTGAACTAGAATGATAAAAAAGAAATGGTAAATGAATAATGAAGAATAAGGCAGAGAATAAAACTATCCAGTATCCTCTTGGTTATTTCCCAAAGGATACTGGATAATCTAGAATAAGGACGTTAATCACTGTCTGGATAACTGGGGTAACCCAATAATAATCAATGGGGCTAACACCATTTTATACATAAAATACCTAACTAGCATCAATACGCCCTCTCACCTAATACGCCACGTTTTGTATGCAATCTACTCAATTGTTAAAAATAAATGCATCGCAATATGGACGTTTTCTATGTATCAGCCGTGACAAGTTTGGTGCGCTGCTGGGCTTCGTACGTTTATGGTTGGCCAACAGTTGCACAGTAGTCAACGCTCCAGAAGGTACTTAAGAATTAATGGCTGCCAGAACAAATAATAGTCACACAAAACTGAAAAAAATAGTCTTAACTTACTTTGTACAGGCTGCAGCCTGGCGCCTCGCCCTCCATCATATCACTAAACAAATCATACAACACCTCCCGCTCCTCCGCTCAACCCGTCCTCGACTCAAGTCCATTACATCCAGCGGTCGACCCCACAGACGCATTCATAAATTTTTACATGCTGTTCATTCAAAACGGAAATTGTGTCAAATAAAAATTAATATTATAATATATTAGCATATTGTGCATATATATAGGCATATAGTTAGGTGTTTAGGTTCTGTTGCCGATTATTTGTATTTGTAGTACGTGGGTGAAGCATTTACAGCGTTGTGGTTCAAACAAAATTCGTCAGTGAAGCACTTGTTCCGGAAGTGTTCGAACGAAATCAGTTGTGAGTCGTGTGTAAACTGTGTTTCATTCATAATCAGCTGGGGTTTGGCGGGTGCATGGAATCATTTTTGGTTCTTTGTTTGGAGGACGGGCTGACGACTCACAACTGATGACGTCCGAACACTCCGGAACAAGTGCTTCGCTGACGACTTTTGTTCGAACACAACGCTGTAAATGCTTCACCCACGAACTACAAATAATCGCCAACAGAACCTAAACACCTAACCTAACCTATGCCTATATATGCACAATATGCTAATATATTATAATATTTATTTATATTTGAGAAAATTTCCGTTTTGAATGAACAGCATGTAAAAATTTATGAATGCGTCTGTGGGGTCGACCGCTGGATGTAATGGACTTGAGTCGAGGACGGGTTGGGGTTGCTATAAATGTTTCACCCACGTACTTCAAATACAAATAATCGCCAACAGAACCTAAACATCTAACCTAACCCCACATAGCAATACATAGAATTGTTATGCATAATAATATTAATTTATATATGAGAACAAACCAATTTTTAATACACAGTATGTTAAAATTGATAATGCGTCTGAGGAGGACGGCCACTGCTTTAAACAGCCTAGTGTGAGGACGGGTTGCCTCCACTCAGAATTACCAACACTAAAGAATCAACATAATTACATGTAACTTACATCCGACACAAATTCTCCCAACACAGCAAATGGGCCCAAACTAATTTATTATCTCAGGTATATAATACAAAGTCATGTGATAAGTAGTCTGCAAGCCTATGCCCCAGTTCCTGCTCACAGAGGTTGCACCTGGAGTGCTCAAGATTGGGAGATCCGTCACCTGCAGCCACCTGCCACAGGTAACTGAAACCCAACCTGATCCTGGTAACCACTGTGTCGCACAGTTTGGTACACGTTTTGTGCTGCCCATAAACATAGGTCTCAGATATGAACAAATCATAGCTTTTAATACAGGTGCTTTCAAATCGTTTGGAGTCAGTAATTTCTCTCCTGTCAGACTTGAATGTTGGGTACAATATAGTTTTGACAGCAGAGATGGGGATACCTAGATCTAATTCAACCTCATCTTTGTTACGCGCTAATTTGGCTGCAATGTTTGTGTCATTATGATGGGTTACATTTATGTGTGATGATATCCATACAAACGAGATTCGAAACTTTACTCTGTGAAGCAATTAGGTCATTTATAATTGCTAGTATGAGGTTCATGCTGGCGATCTTCCAGAAGTTTTCAATTGCTTGAAGAGCAGACTTTGAATCACAAAATATTATTCCTCCTATATTTGTTAATGTTCTGGTAGCTAGTTGTAGTGCCGCTACGCTGCCATCGCGGCTGTCAACAACCAAATACATCCATGTCCACTGATCATCTAACTTAGTATGACAATTTACTTTATGATACATGGACCTTGATTCCTCTTAGGATTCTAAGACCTTGGAATTTTTTGTTGGAAACCAAACACAAGACTGCGCAAGCCTTAGATAGAAAAATAGTGGCAGTTTCTATATTTGAGAGGAAGTGATTCCTTTCTCCATGAGTTGCAGCAACTAGTTTAACATTAGAGTTCACCTTGTGACCTGCTGATTAATAACCAATTACTATAACAGGTGCCAATTTGTTTTTCTTTAATCGGGGCATTTCGCAGTGTAATATTTTTTTTACTGTATATAATAGCAAAACTTTGTTGGGAAAACGACCGGTTACTAACCCTTACATCATGAGGGCATGCTGTCTAGGGCTGCTGTACCGTAGTTACAGGTATACTTTCAAATTATTCTGCAATATGTGCTACTTATAATCTCGCATAGTTAGGCTTCAGAGGTTCCCCGAAAGAGATTTGTTCTTGGGGAGTCAGTACAGCAATGAATAACAAATGCTATATAGGTTTCCAGTCTGTTGACCCTGACAGTAGGTAGGACCATGATGGAGGAACCCTCCATGAAATACTGCATTTAGGAAGCTTGAAACCTAACATTTATTATCCCTTTTTCAGCCTAATCCGATGCTATACTTTACAATTAGCTTTTTAACTTTTTGTTTGCTGCTCTAATGAAGAATTATTTTGTTTAATTCAATGCATTTGGGTAGCTGTGTTTATTACTTGGTTGCATGATCTATTTTATAGTGTAATTAAAAAAGCAGGGATATATAGTTAGTATTTCTGTATTTTTTATTTTTTTTTATTAATAGTTAAATATTTGAGAGTATGTGTAAATATAGGATATTTGCGTGGGTTCCTAATAAATTAGATAACATAAGTTGAGATTTTTAACAAAGGAGGGTTGTAAAGCAGAATGTGGTGAGGTAAATTGTAATGATTTATATAATAAATATATGTATAAATAATAGCTACTCAAAAGAACGGAAGAACGGATTTATCTGGGAAATCCAATTCTTATAAAATGAGTCTAATATATACTGAGAATCTCTCGGCATGCACAGACACGCACACATTATATATATATATATATATATATATATATATATATATATATATATATATATATATATATATATATATATATCAAATGATAAACCTGAATAGTACACAGGCTTCACTTTAAATACTTGAAAGTTCCAAATGCTCTTGCAGGGACTAGAACCTTCCCCTCCGCCCGGGTGATACAAAGCCGAGTACTGTACCTGTACCGGGTTTATCATTTGATAAACGTTCATGTTAGATTTGTAAATTAATTCTACCTCGGGAACCACCACCTGTGTGTGCCAGGAATATCTCTGACCTCTTACAATTAATGCGAGGAGACAGGCAAAATTATGGTGACCAGTTGGCATCACTAACACACTCTGAATTTCCCATATGTAAAAACTACCCCAAAACATACATGCGCCACAAACAGGCAACATACAACTACTACAAACACAGCTAAACAGACAAGTGCCACAAACAACGCAAGACGTTGTTGTACTTGCAAGACAAGTGCAACATACAAAGCAAAATAGACTAGTACCACAGACCTTTACCCGAGACAAGCAGTGCAGGCTGCGTCGTCTACCTGCTCTCCTTCTTGATGAACCAGTAAAGCTGACTCTTCTTCTTGTCTGTCTTTCGTCGACGCTCCACAGGAAGATCTAAGCGACAAGTCGGCGTCTCTTCTACCATCGAGGGTATACTGAGCAGCCCGTATGGCGGTTTACACGCCACCAACCACCTCCAGGCCCTCCTCTCCCGCAACACCAACATCCGGCCTGCTAGACAGTCTGCGGGAGCCTCACGCCCCCGTCAACCCCAATCCTCCCCGTCTTTTTCCTCCCCATCCTTTTCTCCATCCTTTGCAGCGTCGGATCCTCCGAGATCCCAGTCTCAGTCATCCTTTGCAACGTCGGATCCTCCGAGATCCCAGTCTCAGTCATCCTTTGCAACGTCGGGTCCTCTGAGACCCCAGTCTCAGTCATCTTTTGCATCGTCGGGTCCTCCGAGACCCCAGTCTCAGTCATCTTTTGCAAAGTCGGGTCCTCCGAGACCCCAGTCTCAGTCATCTTTTGCATCGTCGGGTCCTCCGAGACCCCAGTCTCAGTCATCTTTTGCAAAGTCGGGTCCTCCGAGATCCCAGTCTCAGTTCGATCATCCCCAGCAGGAAACAGTGTCAAGTTCGCTCTCTCCGGAACGACCTCATCCCCTAAACAGAGCTCCGAACTTTCAAGTAATTCACGAGCATCCATCTCCATCGTCCTCCTCAGCTCAATCTTCATCCATTTCTACTTCATCATCACAGTTTGCATCTTCACCAAAAGCTGCTCCGTCCTCACATCACTTCTCTCCTCCATCCGTTGTTCGTTCCACACAGCAGTTCTCTCCATCCGTTGTTCGTTCCACACAGCAGTTCCCTCCATCCGTTGTTCGATCCCAACAACAATTCTCCCCTTCATCTGCTGCCCGCTCCCCACCACAGTTTTCTTCACCCGTTGTTCGTTCTCCTCCACAGTTCTCTCCTCCATCCTTCTCTCCTCCTCAGAAGTCTCCTCCCTCCGCTCGTAACAATCCTGTCCCTCCCCAGGACCCCTTTTCTTCCACTTCTTTCACAGGACAACAGTTTGGCCCTTCGTTCTCAGACATCGACTCCTTCTTTGAGTCTGCAAGAATACCAAGAGAAAGGCGAGACGTGACGGCAAGGCAGGACGCGTCGTCTCAACGCGACCAGATCAAAAGCTCTTCATGTGAAGGTTCGGTTCCGAGTTCAATAAGTAGTGTGCTTACTAGCAACAATAGAGCCCCTAGACACACTCAACCCGCAGTTATATCCTCCACTTCTCGCGCCGCGGAAAATCCTCGTGGACGAGCTCAACTAAGCTCTCCACCTTCGTCAAATCCTTTTGAAATTCCCTTTGTAATCCCAAATTTTTTCGAGCAGATAGGCATTAGACGCCGCAGAGATCTCGAGGCAGCTCAGGAGAGACAAGGTATCACTGACACACTCGACCAAATATTGAATTCCCCTTATAGAGGAAGCGTACCTGAATCCCTTGCAAGTTTATATGCAAGTAATAAAAACCGTTTCGTGCGTAAGACTGAGCAGTCGCCTCTAAGACATACATCCTCCCCATTTATAAGTGTTGGTTCTAACGATCCCTCACAAGCCGTAGTTCGTCTGTTTCCCATCTCGAGTTCTCACACCACTAGATTTACTGGCCGTGCTAAACGCGACCTGAGTGCCCAGCCGACTACACCTCTCCAAGACCTCCACACGTCTGCTTCACAATTCAGATATAGACCGTTACGTCTGCCACGTCAAGAAGGACGCAAATATCCTCTACGGAATAGACAACAACATCGATTTAAGAATGTAGAGTTTGGAGATCCAATTATAGAATACGAGTTCGGTGGGCAAGATCCTTCCTACCAGGCTCCTGAGTTCCCGCCTTTCAAAGAAAACAATGAGGCCGATACTATAACGGATTTGTCATCACTTTTCGGAGCACAGCCTTCAAACTTCTTGTCCAATTTTGATAGCCCGCTCTCAGAAGACGTTGGCACAAAGTCCACTGTCGTTCATATAGCTTCCAACCTCGTTCTTCCTACTCCTAAACGCCCTCCCCGAAATCCTAACTTTCCTACTAAGAACTCTCTTCGGCTTCACCAGCTCATCCCTGGCTTTAGACCGGGACCTTCTCCTCCCGCTTATATCCTGCCCCCTTATTCCTCCGTCCGCGCCCCCAGACATGTCCTGATGGAGAACCGACGTCTGCCTAAGGTCACACGACAGCAGGATATACCTCTTATGCACAAGAGACTCCTTGTAGCCCAGCGGCGAAACTCTGAGGAACCTGTCTCCTCTGGTAAGCCAAACTTTGATCCCGACTAAGGACGACTCGACGGAGCACGGCCGAACTTTGACAAACTGACCGACAAAACTGTTTCCTCGACGTCCAGGATACAACTGTCTAGGGCAGCAAACTGACTCGAAATTACATTGGGAAAGTGCAATAATTGAAGAGACCGCCAAGTGGCTAGAACGAGTCCCCCATACCACGACTAGTACTTTGACACAGCTAGTGCTGGACTCTGCTACGCTTGAAACATTGCTCCACACCGCTATGCTTCATACAAATAGTGCTTGACACCACTACGCTTGACACAGTGCTTGACACCACCACTACGCTTGACACAGTGCTTGACACCACCACTACGCTTGACACAGTGCCTGATACTACAGTGCTTGACACAGTACCTAACACTGCTAAACCTGACACCGCTAAGCTTGACACAGTGCCTAACACAGCTAAGCTTGACACCCATAATGCATGACACTGCTTCACTTGACACAATCTACCGCGCACGACACCGCTGACGCCTGACACTACCAGCACTTTTCGACACAGTAGCGCGGCCACGACCTGACTTTTCGTTGGACTACAAAACCACAGCGACCTACTGTCACAAATAATCACATCAAGTGTCATTTTTAATAAATATCACCCCTCGCTTGCTCTTTTCTGACTCAGCGCACCATCAACGATCTCTACACAAAAGCTTCATGCTCGCTTGCCTTGTAGTGATTAGTGCACACCAGATTATTTAACTTAATTGTTTTACCATATTATAAAGTTCTCTCTATATAATGTTTACCATAGTGGAAATACAATAATTTATTATTAGTGTATGTTAAACAATTTTACCTGTCATTCCATTTTCTTTTCGCGTCCTAAATTCCACTTACATCTCTCTACATTGTCACTTGAGCTACTAAACAAAGTTTCCCAGGCACACAGGAAGGACATAGACGCAGATCTGACGGAGAAAATCAATCTTAAGTTATTTATGTTATTCTCATAAAATCCACCAACCCTCCACAAATGACAGTACCTTCAACAACTGTGGAGGAACTTTACAAGATTAGCACTTTTGTTCCCTTAAAACTGTTGACGTTTTGTAATATCTTAATAATGCAGCAAGCAAGCAAGCGAGCCAAACAAAATGCAACAGTAACTATGACCCTAATCTGCCACAGGACTAAATATGCAATCCCCACCCCTAGGAGACACCATCCTACACCTACTTTAGTACATATATAGGTACTAAACTAGGTCTAAGAATAGTTTTGGTTGGCTGCCTTTTTTCTCGGACCTTCTCCATGATATTTAGTACAAAGGTGGTCTTTTGTTGGGGGTACACAACTGTACGTCGCTTGTACGTCCTTCCATAGTAACGAGAGGTACTACTCGCTTGTGTGGATGACAGAGTGAACAGCTGCCATGACCTATTGCTGCTAATATGGCAAACGTAACGCTGAAGACTGACAGCAGTACTTACGATTAAACGTTATACTTAAGACTGAAAGAAACACTTAAGACAGAGTGGCACTTAAGACTCGAAAGTAGCCCTTAAGACTGAAAGTAACTCTTAAAAATTAAAGTAACACTTAAGACTGAAAGTGTTAAGAGTGAAAGTGACACAAGACTGAAAGTGTCGCTTATGCCTGAAAGTAATATTTAAGACTGAAAGTAGTAATTAACATTGAAAGTAGCACTTATAACTGCAAGTAACACTAATTACTGAGAGTAACACCTAAGACTAAAAGTAACACCTTAGACTGAGAGTAACACCCGAGACTGAAAGTAACACCCGAGATTGAAATAACACCTTAGACTGAAAGTAACACATGAGACTGAAAGTAACACATGAGACTGAAAGTAACACCTGATAATGAAAGTAACACATGAGACTGAAAGTAACACATGAGACTGAAAGTAACACCTAAGACTGAAAGTAACACCTGATAATGAAAGTAACACATAAGACTGAAAGTAACACATGAGACTGAAAGTAACACATAAGACTGAAAGTAACACATGACAATGAAAGTACCACACAGAATGACCAATTTAAAGACATAAGACTGATCATCTGTTTCTCAATCAGCATCTGTGTTCTCATTTGTCTTCACACCTGTTGTGCCCACACCTGTTGTGTCCTGAATGTGTTGTTTAACGCTAAAGCTTGATGCTTGCAGACGCCGAGGCTGCCAAAGAGGACAGTGAAGGCTTCATCGTCGGGAAGCCCGACAACTTCCCAGGCTTCCACACCATCGGAGGCTTCGGTCCAATGGCTGACGTCGAGAAAGGGGACGGTAAGTGTCTCTATGCCTTCTACCTGCTGACTCTATGCCTTCTCCCTGCTGACTATTCTGTCTACCTGCTGATTGTTCCTTCTACCTGCTGACCTTGTTGCTTCTTACTACTGACTTGCGTTTTTCTGGACAATAATTGTCTTCCTTGACATTATATATATATATATATATATATATATATATATATATATATATATATATATATATATATATATATATATATATATATATATATATATATATATATATATATGTCGTACCTAGTAGCCAGAACTCACTTCTCAGCCTACTATTCAAGGCCCGATTTGCCTAATAAGCCTAGTTTTCCTGAATTAATATTTTTACTATAATTTTTTTCTTATGAAATGATAAAGCTTCCCTTTTCACTATGTATGAGGTCAATTTATTTTTATTGGAGTTAAAATTAACGTAGATATATGACCGAACCTAACCAACCCTACCTAACCTAACCTAACCTATATATATAGGTAAGGTTAGGTTAGGTAGCCAAAAAAAGCTAGGTTAGGTTAGGTTAGGTAGGTTAGGTAGACGAAAAAACATTAATTCATGAAAACTTGGCTTATTAGGCAAATCGGGCCTTGTATAGTAGGCTGAGAAGTGAGTTCTGGCTACTAGGTACGACATATATATATATATATATATATATATATATATATATATATATATATATATATATATATATATATATATATATATATATATATTGGTGTATACTGGCAGCAGGTTTTCTTTCAAACATGTTTCATTGAATATGACCGCATATTCTGTATTTATTATGTTCTGGTTTAGGGCTTCTATCCCTCTAACTATTTTCTTAGCATCAGGGCTTAATTGAAATAGGAGTTCTCCAAAACTCATTTTCGTACTTTTAAGGTGAAGAAAAGAAGTGATTTACTATAGAGTGTATTACACTTATTTATATAATTTGCACAACGTTTCGAACCTCCATGGTTCATTCTCAAGTGAACAGATCTTACAATACTAGTTGATTTTATACCCGCACTGGGTCAGGTGATAATACAATAAAGGTGAAAACATGGGGGGATACATAAGGGATAAATATGAGGTGAAACATAGAGGCTGCAGAAGGCTTATTGGCCCATACGAGGCATCTCCTATCTAAACACAAAGATTAATCCAGTGTAATTGGCCTATTATGTTGGACATTGTCTTCTGTGTTGGCATCGATATGTTCTTGTCTTGTCCTTACTCTCATGGTGGGTAGAGTAAATAGTTCCGTGATTTGGGTGTTCATGGTAGGTCGCTCTATTCTTATGTGAATTGCCTCAAGAATTTGTAATCTTCTTGCATCTTGGGTTTTGTCTATTATGCAGGTATTCTTGTTCAACATTTCTCTTGTTAGAGTAATGTCATGGGCTTGTCTCATGTGATTCCTAGGGGCACCAGATTGAACCTAGGGGCACCATATATATATATATATATATATATATATATATATATATATATATATATATATATATATATATATATATATATATATATATATATATATATATATATATATATGTGTGTGTGTGTGTGTGTGTGTGTGTGTATACTTAGCACTTTAGTAATTTACGTATTATTGTAAAAGAACTCTTCAATGTTATTTATGTATTTTGGCGTGTGATACATTTCTCGTAATTGTATCCCGGTGTTTGTCTAATGCTGCTCCTAATTTTGCAGTTGCTGGTAACTTCATGGAGGAGTTCAAGTTTCCAGCAGTGCAGATCCCGGATATCAACGAAGAACAGCCACAGTTCTCACCGGAACAGTTTCAAAAGCAGGTTAGTGTGGTCCGCGATGATCCCCAGCCCCCGGCTCAGCAGCCCCAACACGCTGACTCCTTCCAGCCGGTCTTTCCCTCCCCACCTGAGGACAGCGAGGACGGCTTCAGATTAATATTCCCTCAAGAGGCCGCCTCGCACCCTGACTCTGATCCTATCCCCCACTCACCGCCTTCACCAAACCACATCCCCACCAACCACAGACCCATTCGACCTTCAGCGCCTCACAGGGGAAGGCCCAAGAGACCAAACCAAACCCCCTTCAGCAGGTTCCTTAACCCCATTCGCGAGCTGATTCGACCCTCCCGCTCCCACAACGCTTCCCGTAAACAGGTACCGGCCGCCCTCGTGCCCTGACCCGGAGTATGGTCCACTCTCCACTAATGTTCACCTTCGGTAGCTGTGTAGTTCTCTCCACTCTTAGGCGGGGGGCCCTTAGCGTCGCACTCACTCCCTGCTAACACCACTTCCTCTAGACTACCCTTATTGATACCCACCTCACTTGCACGCTCTCCCACTAATCACTACTGTCGACGCCTCTTATATTACCATCAGTACGACATTTTGCTTGCCTGCCCCGACTGCTGTGCTGACCTTCGCCTACCCAAACCAAACTCCGTGTTCCCTGCATGTGTTGTCTTGGGACTTTAGTCTTGGGTGGGGGGCCAGGTACTGGAACCGGTTAGGATGTTCAGCACCGTGTATGTAGCGTGCATGTTGTACGTGTGTGTGTGTGATGTTTGTTTAGTGTGTGTGTGTGTGTGTGTGTGTGTGTGTGTGTGTGTGTGTGTGTGTGTGTGTGTGTGTGTGTGTGTGTGTGTGTGTGTGTGTGTCTGTGTGTGGTGTGCTTGCTTTGTTTGCGTGACCCAGGGAACACCACCAGGACGTAGCGGTAGGCTTGCTTCCCTCCCTGTGTGTTGAGAAACGTTTACTTTAAGTTTTCCCTGCGCCGCGCATGCTTGCCCATCAGATCATCACGCCGTAGCTTAAGGGTTCACAGATCATCATTCCGTGGACGTGTTGCCATTGGTAGTGTTCCTGTCGACATATATTTAACGGGTGTTCTGATAACCCGCCGTCACTCTGGTAATGTGGCCCCCAACACCGTCTCTGTTATGACCCCTGCAACCGTCACATTAGTGACCCCTCCTGTTATGACCCCTGCAACCGTCACATTAGTGACCCCTCCTGTTATGACCCCTGCAACCGTCACATTAGTGACCCCTCCTGTTATGACCCCTGAAACCGTCACATTAGTGACCCCTCTTATCCACTGAAATTATCTGTGACCGTCACTATAACTGTGTTTACATCTTCCTATAATAATGACCTAATTTAACCTTCACTATTAAGACCTCCATCCACACTATAATGACCCCCAGTAAAAACTCCTGTGACCCCTTAAGCCTTGCATAACCACGTGACCCCCCTATATGTTCCTTGTAAAACCACGTGACCCCCGTATAACCCCTTGACTCTTGTTAGGGGGTTATACACTTATGCAAACTGTATAACTATTGGTCGTGGTGGTTATACAAGCACCACGGGGCCACTCTGTGAATCCTTCTATTAACACCTGACCCTTTGAACCTTGTCTAACCACATGACCTCAGCATAACCCCTTGACCCTTGTATGGCGACGTGACCCCGTGTAGTGACGGGTGTGCCGACCTTACATTTCTCGACCTTCGAGTGTTTAATGTTATCTTAAGTGACAGTAACCAATGAGAGAGAGAGAGAGAGAGAGAGAGAGAGAGAGAGAGAGAGAGAGAGAGAGAGAGAGAGAGGTAAGAAAGTAAGAGAGGGCACTGTAGGAGGAAACTTCAGGCAAGAGTACAGTAGGGGAGGTGGGCGTCCAACACCGTCGTCCCGTCCGTCGAGGAGGCCTGGTCGAGGACCGGGCCGCGTGGACGTTGAGCCACGAAATCCTGGCCAGGTAGGTCCCCAGCGGGTCTCTACACCCTAGCGGGTGCAACACCTGATGCACCATAACCTTCTTGGGAACTAACATGTGTCACTCTCATCTCTTTTAACGATAACATTACATAGCATGTTAATAATAATGTTATTTAAGATTTGATGAATGTGTGTTCAGAACTGATATATATTCAAGTCATCATTTGCATGATACTGATAGACTAAAATAGTTAATTGTTTGGATCATAACAGAGTGGCGTTCGGAATGCATGAAACAAAACTAAATGAAACAGACTTAACGGGTGTAACAGTACTTACTAGCTGTTGGTTTACAAATATCCTGACGCAGACTTGAGAGACACATACATTAGAAATCTTAAGACGGATTTTTACATTTCTCTTGCATTTGCGAGCGCCACTCCTGACTTGACGAGGGGACCCCTGCCCGACCTGCGCATGCCTGGCCTGCCTTGTCCGGTGGGCCTGACTGACTCCCCTTTTGTTTGGTTTTTACAGCTGTTCCAATAGACGTTACCGCCTCACCCCTCTACTTGACCACAGGTGAGTGAGTGCGCTGCCTCCCCTCAGGTTCCTCACGCTTCTCTACCCTCGTGTGACACTAATCAGGGGACAATATTCCATCTCAACTCCCGCTTCCTTGACTGTCCGCTGCGATGCTTCGTCCTCTACTTAAAAGGCTCTGCTTGCACATTGAAATATTAATAATATTGATTTTAATTGGCCAACACATAATGAAACTTGGTATCAATAAACTCTTGGATCTTTATGATGTAAAGGTCCAAGAGCAGATCCCGCAACTGCTGACATTATAGGCATCCCTTAATACAGGGACTCCACTATTTTGGAAAAGGAGCTTCCCGTTTCATACGATAACCAGAATTTGTGTTTACTTTGCTCACAACACACGCTTTACTTTGCTCAGTACAGCCACGACAAAACAAAACTCATGACACAAAACGTCGGCTCCGGACACAGGAAGTGAGCAAATCGCTGTACATGAAAGATCAAACATAATCAGTTGCGAGTACAGCCCGTACTCGTAAATAATCAGTCAGTCCTCAAAAATAATCCGCTCGTCCTCATAAACAAAGGCCAAATGCTCGTTAACCCAGCCGCCAAGATCACTGAATGAGTGAACAATACTTTACACACGATACACAACAGAAGACGTTCGAATATTTCTAACCTAACCTAACCTAACCCAACCTAACCTAACCTAACCCAACCTAACCCAACCTAACCTAACCTAACCTAACCTAACCAAACCTAACTTTACCTAACCTAACCCAGCCTAACCTAAGCTGCCTAGGTGTATTTCAACACTGTGGTCGCCGTTTCTTGTGAACAAAGCATTTCGCCATGAGTTACGCAACACTTTACATACTGACGCAATACCACATTAAAACAGTCGAAACACCTCACCAATGCCGGCGCAACACACATTCCAAGCCGAAGAAATACCTCATCAAGATCGTGGCAACACGTCAGCAAGTCTAAAAGCCCAACACTCACTCAACACCTCACAAGATTCACCCGTCTCTCTCTCTCTTTCTCATTAAAATTATATAAAGAAGCACTTAAACTACCGAATAAGTCTACGGACAGCACACCCAATTTCAGGTTTTACCTCATGACTATTCCACTTAAGGGGGTGGGGGTCGGTTTAGTTGCCGGTATTTCTTAAAGAATGGCACTGTGGCCAACCCCCGTGTGGTGAAAGGCACTACCCTATCCCACATGGTTCATGTGTGAGAGTTGGATGAGACTAGCCCCAAGCGTCTGGTCTCTAGCCTTGGGTACACAAAATGCCACTATCTTATAGCTTAATTACTGAACTTTTTCTGGCTTAATGCCTAAACTTTCCCTGGTTTAATGCCTAAACTCTCTCTGGTTTAATGCCTAAACTTTCTCTGGTTTAATGCCTAAACTCTCTGGTTTAATGCCTAAACTTTCTCCGGTTTAATGCCTAAACTCTCTGGTTTAATGCCTAAACTTTCTCCGGTTTAATGCCTAAACTCTCTGGTTTAATGCCTAAACTTTCTTTGGCTTAACGATTAAATTTTCTCGGGCTTAATGACAATTCAACACTTTCATTGGCTTAATTACTAAACTTTCCCTGGCTTAACAATTAAACTTTCTCTGGCATAAGAGACTATAAACTTTCTTTGGCTTAATGGACTAAACGTTCTCTGGCTTAACCACTTACCTTTCTCTGGATTAACTGCCATAAATACTATGACACTGTAGACACGAGGATATAGTTACTATGACTTGGTAGTCACAGTACACATTGTTTCTATAACAATATGCATAATATAAAACTATGATAAAATATCATGACTGAACTTTCTATGGCATACTAAAGAGTGAACTTTCTCTCTGGTTATAATGACCAAGGAAACTTTGTATTATCTTCCGTGCTATTGTAAGAACCTTTTCTGCAAATATTGCATTAAAAACTTTCTTTTTCTGCCACGCTGACAAAAGAACTTTCTTTTTCTTGCGTACCTTCAGTTATTTAAATAGATAATAGTTAATAGATACAAATTTATACTGGCACTGGTTAATCAATATGAATGGAGAATGTGTGTGTGTGTGCGTGTGTGTGTGTGTGTGTGTGTGTGCGTGTGTGTGTGTGTGTGTGTGCGTGTGTGTGTGTGTGTGTGTGTATGTGTGTGCGTGTGTGTGTGTGTGCGTGTGTGTGTGTGTGTGTGTATGTGTGTGCGTGTGTGTGTGTGTGTGTGCGTGTGTGTGTGTGTGTGCGTGTGTGTGTGTGTGTGTGTGTGTGTGTGTGTGTGTGTGTGTGTGTGTGTGTGTGTGTGTGTGTGTGTGTGCGTGTGTGTGTGTGTGTGTGTGTGCTTTCCCCCCGTACGCATGTGTGCGTCAGTATGAGCTCAGTGTATGATAATCCATGTGCTTATGCATGATGGTACGTGCGAGTGTATATACTTTGGCACATGTATTTGTATATGCCTGTGTATTGTGCCACGTGTATTGTGCATCAACTGTGACATGTCAAAGGTGTGCCAAATAGTTTGCCTTTCCAGTATTGAGGACTGAGCAAGGTGCACCTCACCCAGCGACCCCACACTGTACCGACGTATGCTAATATTTTACATTTGTGTGGATATACAGTGAGGGTATTTAATCCAAGTGTATATTCGTGTATTTAACAACAGTTTCCCTTAATTGTTACTTGCTCTCCGTATACCTTTTCCTCTCATCATCATCTAGTTCCACTAATGAGAGTTGAATCAGTATGAAAGTTTCTTCACAAAAGATGACAAATATCTTCTTAAAGTAATAAATAAATAATCTCTTTCATTTTGCTGACTCCCAACAGGCAGTACTCAGCGAGACGCAGCGCAGGCCAAACCTGGCGAGAGTGAGTGATGAAGTTCAGACCCGGGTCCGCAGGAGAGCTGGGGAACCCGACCCCAGCGATCAGTCCAACGTCCCTCACAAGCGCGTCCACCGGGTTCAGGTTGAGCCTCAGATTCCACACAGTCGAAACCCACGGCAGTTTGAGGTGGAGAGTGATAGTCAAGGGGACCATTCCGAACTTCCCGTCTATTTCGAATCTCTTCGGTTCCCTAATTTCCGGAGAGAGGAGACATCCCAAGCAGCAAGGAGCCCGGCACGCCTCCAGAATGCGAGGTATCTTCCTATTCAGTATTCCTCGGATTTCAAGGTTGAGGAAGACAAAGTTGAAGTGCACACGCCCGAGGATGACATTATAATTCCTGACGGCCAGAGTTTTTATCCTTCATTTAACGGCCATCCTCTTCCTGTCCTGCCACCACTGCACCCAGCGTTCTTCCCATCCGCTCCCGTCCCCGCAAGAGCCCCAGGGGCAAGAGGTGGGAGGTTCCTCCCTCGTGGGCCAGGGTACCGCGAGAACCAGAGGGAGCAGGCATCACTTAGAGACCTCCGCAACTCTTTCCACGGTTCAGGCATGCGAGAGGGCCTTCGAAAGCCCTTCCACCGGGAACAAGAACACGAAAACCTCGACAATTCACTACTCGGTTCTGGCAACTTTGAAATCCTGCGCGGTGGAACGTTCTACGACGATGATGACCCTAACGGCTTCCAGCCCGAGTATGACCATCTTCTGGATGACGCCTACCTGGCCTTCCCTGGCCCTCACAACGCCCCCCACACTAATAATTACGTGGACGATTTTTTCTCTAACTTCAGGGACTTTTCTGAATTTGCTGTTCGGAAAGGTAATGCCGGAGAACAACCATTTTTGGATGATGGCACGTTTTACGGAAGCGGTTTTGCATCTGAACAGGTCCATCAAGTTGTTGCTAGTCCAAAGTCAGACAATTCCAGTGTTACTTCAGAAAATAAAAATGAAACAGATGCTAATGTAAAAACGAATGATAAAACAAAAGCGCAACAGATGCCAGAAAACTCGAACAGAGAAGTGTCAAAAACCAGTAGCGAGGCCGATGACAGCGAACACAAACATCATTACAGACAACCTAAAAATATACAAGATGTTTTGGAGGACGTTGACCCACAACCGAGTAAATATGAATCGTCGTCCTTGACTGTAGATGAGAAAGATCCAATGTTAGCAATGTTTTAACATAACACTCTTAAACCAAATCACCATAACCCACCTTGTCTCATCGTGTAGAACCTGTTAAAATATATGTATATACACTCAGTCTCTGTGCTAGTCCATGTTTTGAGTCATGAGAGGAAACGAAAGTTGTTTGTGAAATAAAATTCCATAACGCGAACTAAAGAGATGTTTTTTTTTTTTGCGGGTCTGTCTCGACCCCTTCACTACCTCTGTCTCGGTCAGGTCAGGATGAAGGTTTAGCGCTGCCTGGCGTCTCTGGTAATGGATCCTGAAGGATAATGTAACATTACCCCATGTATGGAACTTATTGAATAGTGAGTAGAGTTTTCCAACTTTTTTTTCCCCTTTATCGGTCTGTTCCTCATGCTAATGCCACTGATCTCTATTATTTCATATCATTTCATTCTTTGTTGTATTTTAATAGAATAATTGTATTAGTCTGATTAAATGTTGATTTACCCGTGTGTGGAGCAGGTCTCTGCATGCCTGGGTGCTCTAGTTGTGTATGCTTCACGGAAACAAAAAGGACACTATCATCACCAAACGTAGTTTGACTTCATAGGAAAGTTTTTCATGTTCATTTTACTTGAGCTTACAAGTGTTTAATAGGTATTTCTCGTGTGCGTGAGGCAGCGCACACACCGTGCGCTGGGCGCGCGTCTGTTGTTAATCAGAAACAAAACTGCTTGTTTTAAAAGTTAGGTAAAATTCAAAATGTTGCCGTGAATGTCTTCAGTCATAAAATCATTAATTATACCTTAATTTTGTTTCTGAGTTACATCGTTCAACTCAATGATTAACGTCAACATCAATCTGACAAATACAGTGCCTGAGGATATAATCTTTATTAACGTGCAAGTAGTATTGAACATGACAACTGAACTGATGAACTTGTGATGTTTTATTTTGTAATCGTTGTTGGCCTTTCCATATGTATATAAACATTTTATCAATAAAATATTTAGAATGATATAATGCACATGTTTTATTGGTCACTTCATTGTATTGGATAACGCTATAATCAAATACAACTAACATATAAAAGGAATAATGAATAAGAAATCAGGAATCGTGTTGAAGCATGAACTTGCCTCAGTGGACTAGGCTTGGATTACACGCGTGATGGTTGAAGAGTAAAGGATGTATTAGCCTTGTTCCACACCAATTACAGACTGCTATACACCTAATAAATCATCCTTTATATTCCTAAATAACTTCTTCAAGTTCTCCACCAACTGTGCTACAGTACAACACTCTCACTCACCCGAGTAATAACTCCAGCTATGTGTGTGGGAGTCGACTGCGCAGCTTCACAATCGTCCACCATAGGACAAAAGCCTATTATTTTAGTCTATTATCATGCACATATTTTTGGGTTTCAATGTTCATATAATCTTGAACTAGATGTGATTGATTTGATGACAAGTGATTTCTTTTTGATTAATTAAATCGATGACTATTGATTTCCTTTCGAAGATCTATTGTGAATAATATGATTGAAAATTATTTTTAAGGACTCATTATGAATGATAATTATTTCCTGGCCCCTAAAAATGACATATTAACGTAGCAGTACGGAGGAACGGTGCACTAAAGCAAGACGTCTGCTCAGCCTAGGGAGAGTATGGGGGAATGGCAGGAGGGTATAGGATCTTATGCATGAAGTTATCGCTTCATGCAGGTCGGCGTTCAATTCCCAACCGTCAAAGTGGTTGGGCACCATTTCTTCATCACGTCCCATCCCAAATCCTTATCCTTACCCCATCCAAGTGCTATAAAGTCGTAATGACTTGGCGCTTTCCCCCCCTCACAATTAATTAATTAATTTAATCGACGTTTATTCCAATGAAAATTTCCACATTTAATATAAAAAAAACCATTATGCAAGAACAATAACGTAATGATGGCCCGGATGCCCAGCGCTAGACAACAAGTCTGAACATAAAATTATTATTATTAACATCTTTATTGACAAAAAATAATTACAATTTTGCCTAATCTGAGGAATTAAATTAAGGCTTATTAGAGTGAGGATAATGCTGGTATTCACTGTCACACACAGTGAACAGAAGAGTTAGAGGGGGACATGATCACCACATACAAGATTCTCAGAGGAATTGATAGGGGAGATAAGGACAGACTATTTAACACAAGTGGCACACGCACTAGGGGACACAGGTGGAAATTGAGTGCCCAAATGAGCCATAGAGACGTTAGAAAGAATTTTTTCGGTGTCAGAGTAGTAGACAAATGGAATGCATTAGGCAGTGATGTGGTGGAGGCTGGCACCATACACAGTTTCAAATGTAGATATGATAGAGCCCAGTAGGCTCAGGAACCTGTACATTAGTTGACTGACCGTTGAGAGGCGGGACCAAAGAGCCAGAGCTCAATCCCCACAAGCACAACTAGGTGAGTACACAGGACAGAGGATCAAACACAAGATAATAAGTCTGAACTTTAGGCTGAAGCACATATATATCATGGTTACAATCAATGTTTCAATGTACGAATATATAAATACAACTTTCTATTGTGGACTGCCACACAAGGGCAGGGATGGGTTCGTAAGAGATGCAACTTAAAAATAATATAAATAAAATTATTCTTCATTCATTAAAATGGACAAGTAAATTTAGGATAAATTGTTAGGATGTCGTCCAGAACACCTGAGTCAATGAAATAGTTACACAGTTGGTGGTACAAGAGGCCAGGAGGTCTAAAGTCTTTTACGGTTTCACATTCAACAATATAGTGTTCTAATGAATGCATTAAAGGTTTGTCACAGAATTTACAATCTGAGTATTCTGGTAGTGGCTCAGCCTCACTAACCTGCCAGATGTGTCTATAGCCATGCAATTCAATGAGTTCATGCAATGAGTACATCACATTGCTTGGTCTGGTTACTGTGCTGACCATACAAATACATACAGTATTATTGTATTACAAAACTTGTCATAGCATAGCTTTTAATAATGCAGCTTTCAGGTTTCTGGGCATTTCTTAGTTCTTCTAAATCTGAAGTAATTTCTTTAATTTTTATGTTTCTAGTAATTGCATTAGATAGTCCAAAGTGATTATCAGTGTTTTCTTTCCTGCAAACCTCTGTTGGCCAACCGATCTACAAAGTCATGTTTTTCACCTCCAACATGGGATGGGATCCACACAAATTTTAGACAATAGTTATTATCATCATTGGCAAAAATTATATTTCATTTAATATTACAAATTACTTCAGACATAAATTGTGATGGGTTATTTAAGGACTGCAGAGCACATTATTACTCCACTTATTACTTATTATAAAATATTACTCCATCACCATTGAGCTTAAAGTACTCAGTGGCTAAATTAGTGGTAAGGTACTCAGGTACCTTACCACTAATAAGGTTAAGGTACTCAGTGGCTAAACCCAATAGCTCAGTCTGTGTCGTGCTTGCCCAGTCGTTCAATCTCTGTGTATTAGACATGATTATTTCATTCCCTTTATATACTACACATGCATAACCTGTTCTACCAGTTCCTAATTGCACAGAACCATCAGTAAAGGCATAGGATTCAGTTGGTTTGAGATTTTGAAGAGGACTGTCAATACCTTCTAGTGTTATACATCTCATAGTTTGTGTTATATATTTGTTTTACACTGATGGGTGTATAATGTATAGAGACCTGCACATCTTTCCAAGGGGGAATATAGTGAACAGTTTTATCAGTATTAAGAGACACATTCAGTTTCAGAAGATTATAGGCACAACAACTGAGCCACACACTGTAAGGAACTTTTTGCGGCGGATTGAGGAAACAGTCAGAATTGTTTAGAATGGATCTGAATTTAATTTTAATAGAGCTGGAAGGAACATTATTTTTCACAATTTTGGCACAAAACAGTATTAAGTAGAACTAATCTCTCGTAAATAGAAGGTCATCTTAGTTCCTTTCTCATGTTAACAGTTCTGACAGTTCTAGGACAACCCAGGATGATGCGAATGGCATCATTTTGTACATCTAGGCCTTGAAGTTGTTTAGGAGAAAAATTAAGAAGATGCAAGGCATAATAATCAACAGAAAGTATACAGGCAATATAAAAACTATGAGCATATTTTATGTTAATGCTAAATCCTTTGTCCACAAGTGTTTTGAGAGGTTTAAGACGCTCTTTTGTTTTTGTTCGAAGGTAACTGATGCTATTTGTATCATTAACCTGACTCCAAGATATGTATAAGACTCACAAGTCTCCACGGGAACTCCATTAATAGTATAGTTAACTTGAAGAGAATGGGGAATAAGAACCCTTGTTTTATCAACAGTGATTATGAGGCTACATTCTACTACTTTCTTGGAGAATGCACCAAGTAACACTTGTAGCCTTGGTTTACTGTGTGCCATAATACAAATATCATCAGCATAACATATAACAGTTTCCGTAGGTTGTACAGGTATGTATGGATAAGTTTGTGCATAAATATATTTAAAAGCCTAGGACACCACCTTGAGGTGTGCCTAGTTCGAATGCATCTGTTCTTGTACTTTTAACTCCTTTAAATAGGACACTAGCACGCCTGATGAATAGGTAGCTCTTTATCCAACTCAGAAGATTACCTATGATTCCAAATTCAGCAAGTTGCTCTAATATTATTTAGCCATTTGCTATATCGAAATCTGACAGCTGTTTGTGTCCTATTCTAGGAATGTACAAAACATTCAGCTAAACATGTTTGTGTACAACACTTTGACATAAACCCATATAGGTTAGGACCCACTTTTTCTTCTATCTGAAATGTGACACGATTGAGAACAATTCGAACATAAAAGGTGTCTTCGACGTCATACTGACCTCATTCATATTTCCTCAGTCATCTGCGCTAACACTTCACGGTCAACTTGTCACACGTTGTATCGCACATTCACTATTTATATCCACATACACGGAGCGTCCACGCGGCCCCGCCAGGAGATCTTTGTTGACATGGCGGGTCCTTCTGGGTAATAATGACGTCATCAGACGCGCCTCTCTGCTCTTGCATGTTAGTTTACTTACCTAGTTGTGCTTGCGGGGGTTGAGCTTTGTCTCTTTGGTCCCGCCTCTCAACTGTCAATCAACTGGTGTACAGGTTCCTGAGTCTACTGGGCTCTATCATATCTACATTTGAAACTGTGTATGGAGTCAGCCTCCACCACATCACTTCCTAGTGTATTCCATTTGTTAACTACTCTGACACTGAAAAACATTCTTTCTAATGCCTCTGTGGTTCGTTTGGGTATAAGTTTCCACCTGTGTCCCCTAGTTCGTGTTCCACCCATGCTAAAGAGTTTGTCTTTATCGACCCTGTCAATTCCCCTGAGAATTTTGTAGGTGGTTATCATGTTTCCCCTTACCCTTCTGTTTTCCAGGGACGTGAGGTTCAGCTCCTTCAGCCTTTCCTCGTAGCTCATACCTCTCAGTTAACACGATGAGTTTCACGGTGTCTAGTTTCTCTTCAGTGAACCGTTATGGCATCGGAAAGATCGCATTTAATTTTATATTTTATTTCCTATAACTGTATTTCGTTGAGGCGTAGATATGACTTTTAATATCATAAATCAAGGGAAAATGGGGCTCCGTGAATAAAGTTTCATTCACATCAGAACGAATCAAACTCCGTTTTCTCTTGTTGATTTATATAAACTAATTTAAACGAGCAAATATTCGTTTTAATACAAATATTTTTATAGCTTCATCATTAATATATCTAAAATAAGAAAATATATGCGAATTTAGAGAATTAAATTGCGGAGAGAAAACGGGATTCAAAGAGTTATGATGTAATTGAAGTTTCATTCACGGATCACTTCTTAATACATTGATTTATGTTACCCCTCGACAAAATACATTAAAATAAAATAAATTATAATATTGCTTAAACTGCGATCTTTCCGATAACAAGACGAGACAAACTACACATAAACATGCTAGAGCAGAGAGGCGCGTCTGATGA